CAAAACGCAGAATTTTTCGACAAAAAAAAATAATCATTGTATACTGAAACATATGATATATTTGGATTCCTTAGGGTGGGAAGGTTTCGAATCCATTAAAAAACGACTACTTCCGGTTCTCACTTCCAGTCATCCGATTCCGACATCAATGGATCCGTTTAGATGTCATGGAACGTAATCAATCATTTTTCGAAGCCAAAAGGGCCTCATAACCTATTTTCATTATACTAGCCGCAACAAACCGATGTGGGTACTCATTTCAAATTATTTAATTTGTAGATTATGAAAAGTATAATATACAGCGTCTAATGTGAAATAGCATAGGAAGAATAGCACATTCAAAAAAATCATTGAACAAATTCGAAATCAAAAGTCGTTGGGTTATGAACAACTACGAATGTAATCCAATTGCAAAGGTTTAATTCAAAACGCAGAATTAGTTGACAAAAAAATGAATAAATTATCGTATACTGAAACAAATGGTATTTTTGGATTACTTAGAATGAGTAGGTTTAGAATCCGTCAAAAACAGGTCACTTTCGGTTTTCACTTCCGGTCGTCCGATTCCGATGATTTTGACATCAATGGATTCGTTTAGATGTCAAAAAATATAGTCAATCATTTTACGAAGCCAAAATGACCTTATAACCTATTTTCGCTATACTAGTCGCAACAGGTTGATGTGGGTACTCATTTCAAATTATTTCATTTGCTGATTATGAGAAATATAATATCGAGCGTCTTATGTGGAATAACAAGGGGAGAATTGGAAATACAAAGAAAAAACATTGGAAAAACTTGAAATTCAATGTTTTCAGGTCATCAACAATTATGAGTGAAATTCAATAGCAGCAGTTTGAATCATATCCAAACCAAAAGGGCCTTGAAATTGAGAGTTTCACTATCACACTGTCACCACTAAACTGGCTAGGTTGGCGTGAAGTTGTGTGTAGTTGATGCTGGAGTGAATGAGCGAAATGTCCAATGGAATACACGACTGCGATCGATCTGTCATTGATCATCTGACACGTTCAAAAATACCAGTTCCTTATGTCACTGCATCTGTCAATTATTATTCGATTTCTCAAGTCATTCACATCTAGTGCAGAAGTTTCATAAACAAGAGCCTTCAGATGACCTTATGAATGAAAAATCTGGAGGATTCATATCAGGACTGCGAGCTGGCTGATTTTGAATTCCTACACGTTCAAGTTAGTGATTAGGTTAGGTAATGTCAATATAATGCAAAAGTGACGTATTATACTATGAAGCGGTCATTTCTCGCATGAAAATCACATATAAAATTCCATAAAAATATAACGAGCTGAAACGATCATTTTGATCATTTCAACCGCAGCAAAAAACACGCTTTTTTGAAACCCCATTTTCTCCAACAACCTGTATGATGTGTAATGTAACGTTATATGTTAGTTTGAAGGAATAACCATCCACAGTGGAACTATTTAAATTGAATTGATTGAAAAAAAAAAACTTTCCTGTAAAGAACCGAGATTTTTTCTCTTTGGATATTCAGAAAAATTGAAAATCAGTTTACTTTGGTTGAATCATAATGATTCGTAACACGAGCAAAATTTTACCTTCCGAATAGATAAAAATTGCTTGTAGACTGTAAATAGCATCATGTTAGTTATGAGTGAGGGGTAAGTAGAATCTGAAAGGGAGATGAGTTTGTAAGTTTCTAACGTAGGAAGGAATCACTCATAGATTCAAAAATAATATACTAGTGAATATAAATTGATATCTAATCATTCCATTAATATGTTCACAATTACATTTTTCGAGTTTCGAGACTTTCTACTGCTATCAAAGTTTTTTGAATCTCTTAACCTAAAATCTATCAATAATATGAAGTAGTTAGTTGAACATTCAGTAATGGAATACTAAATAAATATCTACTAATAATCATCAATATCCATAGCATTTGATGTTTGAGAGATAGAATAGTGACCCAAAGGTAGTGTATTGTGGGAATTTGAGATAATATAATGTTTATCATCTTCAAAGTTGAGAGCAATCTTGTATTGAGCGATGGAATGTACTTGATGTTTATCGGATCAGATCAAATTTTGGGTGACACTCATATTCTTTCAATTCTCTAAGCAAGTGGTTTTTTCTTCACCACAGAAAATATGACACCCTTTGTCTTCTTGGTTACCCCCAAGCATGAAACCATTTGATTAATTTCTTCCTCTCCATAGTCATCATTTACGGTAACAGATTACAGCCGTTTCTGGGCCTTCCCCACCACTATGACGTATTCATTGCTTTTTTTGTTGTTCAGTAACCTCAAGGCGATGTGACCTTGAAGTTTCTAGTGCAGAATTTTTTTCATATAAGATTTTGTGTGTGTGACATAATGACGTAATTACATTTGGTTGGTGTGTGAGAATGCACGGTACCGGGTTTACGTCCTTCAGTTATGTTCATGAAACATGACCTTGAACATGGGATTCAACTTTGAGATTAGGGAACTAGATTGCATACATGGTAAAGTCAGGGTTTGATATTGTCCTTCATGTGTACTGTGTACCAGTTTGTACAGAATAAACACACGTCTGCATACCACGAAGATCCACCGACTGATTAGAGGTCCTTCTTCACCAGTTTGGATGGTACCCATCGTGACAGAGAGTGTACACGTCTGCACTCCGTGAAGTTTCAACGATTGTATCGCCTTCTGTCAACACATCGAGTTGGAATTGGTGGTGGTGGTGGGGAAGGATCTGTGGTCGACGCAACGAATTGGCTTCGACCTTGAACGACCTTGATCTACGTCACACCCTTGACGTATGTCACAAGGTAACAAGGACAAGGCGACTTTGAACTAGTGTTTTTGCTTTAATCTTGAATGACCTTCATCCACTTTCTATATTTTCACACCCTTCATTGATCAACGTGACTATTCCGAAGATACTTTTAATTTAGAAATGAACTCTACATACGTCACACGAAGTAGACAAGGTGACTTTGAAGAAGGCTTTTGAGTTCGACCTTGAACGACCTTCACCTACGTCATATCCTTGAACTACGTCAGAAGGTGACGCGATCAATGTGACTTTGAGGTAGCGTTTTGGATTCAACCTTGAATGACCTTCATTTACTTCCCATATTTTCACGACCTTCATTGATTCATGTGGTTATTTTGACTTTGAAATGACCTGAGGTGACTTTGAAGATGTGTTTTGAATTCGACCTTGAATGACCTTCACCTACGTCACACCCTTGACGTACATCACAAGGTAACAAGGACAAGGCGACTTCGAGCTAGTGTTTTTGCTTTAACCTTGAATGACCTTCATTCACTCTCTATATTTCCACAACCTTCATTGATCAACGTGGCTATTTCGAAGATACTTTCAATTTTGAAATGACCTCTACATACGTCACACGATGTCGACAAGCTGACTTTGAAGAAGTGTTTTGAGTTCGACCTTGAACGTCCTTCGCCTACGTTACATCCTTGAATTACATCATAAGGAGAAGCGGACAAGGCGACTTTGAGGTAGTGTTTTGGATTTGACCTTGAATGACTTTCTTTCACACTTTATTTTTTCACAGCTATTTCGAACAATTTTCAATGTCGCATGAACTTGGGAGGTGACCTTGAGATTTTAGTCTGTCTCGGGTCACATTAACATTGAAATGACCTCTACATACATTACATGATGTCGACAAGATTACTTTGGAGAAGTCTTTTGAGTTCGACCTTGAATGACCTTCACCTACGTTACATCCTTGAACTACGTCACAAGGTGACGCGGTCAATGTGACTTTGAGGTAGTGTTTTGGATTTAACTTTGGATGACCTTCATTCAGTTTCCATATTTTCACGACCTTCATTGATTCATGTGGTTATTTTGACTTTGAAATGACCTCTACATACGTCACATTATGTCGACAAGGTGACTTTGAAGATGTGTTTTGAATTCGACCCTGAATGACCTTCATACGTCACACCCTTGAACCACGTCACACCCTTGAACCACGTCACAATGAGAGTAGTGTGGGGCGCTACCACGACCACAACCGAATCATATAAAATACGAGTTGTGAACGTGAACGTCGTCATTTAGTACATGAGAGCGCATCGAGGTGAATTCCGAAAAAATCGCAGCTGTAGCTTGAATTTCGCTTTTTTTCTCACAGTGTCGTCTTTCATTAGCATATGAAACCGGATTACGGCTGAAAATATATATTTTTATCAAATAACTTGTCCATTTTCAATTTTATATGAAAAATAGTTATGACAAAAGTTGTATAAAATTGAATTCCCAACAATTTTGATTCCTATAATTTTTTTTCATGAAATCGATATTTTTCGAGAAAGGGTGGGGGTGAAATTTTGTCATTGTATTATGACATTTATTTTTGATTTCACATGAAAGATAGTAATGACAAAAGTTGTATAAAATTGAATTTCCTACAATTTTGACCACAATCAATTTTTCCGTAGGATCGATATTTTTCGATTTAAACCTGAAATAAGTAGGGGGTGAAATCTTATAATGGAATTATCTCATTTATTTTCAATTTCACAAGAAAAATTACAATGATCAAAGTTGTATGAAATTGAATTTTCTATAATGTTTCTCGTATGTGAAATGAAAGACGAAGAATTTTTTTCCACATAGTTTATTCAAAAATTACAAACTGCTTCTTCTAACCTTCCAATATCTGCCAAACTAATTTGAGTGTTTAGCTGTCGTCATCGTTTTCGAATTGAAATTAAGGCAAATAAATGTTGATCATGTCGCCATTTCGTCAACTCCCTTCTTGATCCACTTCTGGAGATCCTTCACACAGTCGCTAATGTGGGCGACTTCGAGCCGGTACTGTTTGGTTGAATCATCCTCAACACAGTCCTCCTCTTTGACTCTGACGGTGTCCTGACTTCCACTTTCAATATTGGTTTCTACCTCTGCCAGTTCAGCCAGCAAATGCCTTTTCAATTCGACTAGTTGTTCCTGTCGAACCACAAATCATTGCTTGCGTGTGGCAATCTCTGCCAATTTCTCGTCGCTGCCCTCGATCACCAGTAGCTTTGTCTTCCTCTCTCGGCATATTCTACCGAGTTCGAGCACGTCGTCGACTAAGTTGCAGCTCCTCTGCGGTATCGGTAACTCCACCTCGCTGCCAGAGGGTGAGCCGGAAGGTGCCTCATGAACAGTTGGCACAGGCATCGGTGGCGGAGGTACTATGGATCCGACTTTTGGTAGGTTATGCGGCCCGGTTGTGGTCTCTAAAGATGTCGTGGTGGTGGGCATCAGTGGCGGAAGTACTATGGATCCGGCTTTTGGTACGTTATGCGGCCCGGTTGTGGTCTCTAAAGATGTCGTGTTGGTGGTTGGCTCAATGTTTAATGCAGTAGATGGTATCTGCGACGCCGTCGGTGGCTGTTTTTTCGTCTTGACCGTCTTGGACTTTGAAACGGTGGTATCCAACGTAGAGGGGGCTCGCCACAGGGACGAGGTCATCGGCGGCTGCTGATAAGGATTCCTTTCATCCTATATTTCCATATATTTCTGCAGCTCCGACTGCTTTGGTTTCACCTTCGGCACCACCTGCTTCGACTTAGCGGCGGACACCCTCTTCTTAGTCGGTTGGGGGCAGCAAACTCATCATCACTACCGCTCGCTGCTACTCTCTTGTTGGTACTCTTCGAGCCCTTCCCGCATCATTGCTGGTGCTACTCATTTCCGAAGAGGAAGTGTATCACAGAACATTCTACATTCTGCTACATCCAGGTCTTGGAATCGTCACAATCACATCATCTTCAGGAAGGGGGCTGGGTGAGGGTTCTACATGGAATTCCGTTAGGAAGTCCACGATATTCTCTGGTTGCTCTGATCCCTGCACCAACACCACGTCTTGCAGGACCTTACCCTTCTCAGATTTACCGGTATCAGTAAAAAGAGATATACTACAATATATCTCAAGAATGAAACAGGTGGACCACAAGAATGAAACAGGATGAATTTCCTCTCAAAGAAACAATTGTTTTCTTGCCAACGTTTCTAATTTAATCAAATTCTTCTTCAGGGATCTGTAACAATGTAGTTTCATAAACATACCTCCCACAAAACTTATACGATAAGTATCATTTCAATTACTCACCGAAAAGTAGCTTCTTTGTGTTGATATAACTATTTTAAAAAACATTAGACATATAAGATACATTTAAAAAAAATATTGCAACAAATTTTTGAGACAACACCAATACAAACGGCATGAAACTAATAATTTCAATAGCACAGTCGTAA